AAAAACCAAAAAAAAAAAAAAAAAAAAAAAAGATCATAGACTCAGTCCCCAGCATCAGCCATGACACAGATATATAAATTGATAGGATGTGTATATGTGTTACTATTAAATGTGTGTATGTAATTTTCAATATTTTTCAATTTGTAAAACATGTAGTACAAAAGAAAAATGGTATGTGTAATAGATTTCTCAAATGTAGATATGAACGAGGGCATATAACAGTACTCTAATAAGAACAATCACAAAACTAGCTAATAATTATTAAGTCTTTCTTAGGTGCCCTGGAGAGTCCTAGAGCTTTAAGGTAGCATTTCCATCCACCCTCTTCCATTTTCAAGAGGCTCAGGAGGTGTTCAGGCATCCCTGCCAATCTGCACCAGGATCAGAACTTCGACTCCCAAAGGCATTCCTCAAAGCTTTCATACTGACAAAACTTGATTTAAGCAAAGAAGAAAATTACACATTCAATCTTGAAATTTTTTTTAATCTAAAATCAAATTGATAGATTTTAGGAGCAGTTTTTACAGCTATGACCTAACTTCTTCACTATCTATCCATTCCACCTTTACATATAAATAAAATGTTGTATTAATTTGCATAAAAATCTGTGGATTTTGCCGAGTCTGGTGGCACATGCCTTAAACCCAGCATTTAGGAGGCAGAGGCAGGTGGATCCTTGAGTTTGAGGCCAGCCTGGGTCTACAGAGCTAGTTTCAGGACAGCCAGGGCTGTTACACAGAGAAACCCTGTCTTGGCCGGGGGCATGGGGCGGGGGATTCAGTTTTTAACCATGTATGGTGGTACAGACCTTTAATCCCAACACTGGGAAGCAGAGGCAGGCAGATCTCTTTGAGTTCCAGGCCAGCCAGGGCTACACAGTGAGACTCTCAACAAACGAGAGGGTATGGGTAGGTAGGTGTTGGGCAGCGGGGTGAGGGGCTGGACAGAATGCGTGGTGAACCTGGAGTGCCAGCTGCTCAGCAGAGTAAGGCCAACGGACAGCCAGCAAAACCCTATCTCAAAACAAATACAGAAGCTATAAGTGTAACTCTCTAGTGGAGGGCTTTCCTTATGTGTACATGGTCCCTGGAGGCAATCTTAGCCCTGGGCAGAAACAAAAAGAATGTTTTTCATAGTGACCTTGTTCTGTACAATGACATGATGCCATTTTCTCCACAGAATGCAGACTATACCACTGGCCAGGTGTTTGACTTGTCTGAAAAGTTAGAGCAGTCGGAGGCCCAGCTGGGACGAGGGAGTTTCATGTTGGGTTTAGAAACACACGACCGGAAGTCAGAAGACAAACTTGCCAAAGCAACTAGAGACAGGTGAGTGTCTTTATGCCGGGTCCTGCCCACTCCTCTCAGTATCTGCAGACGGTAAATCCTGGTTCCCTGTGGTTCAGTCAGCTGCAATTTAAGAGATGCCCAAGTGTTATCTGCTTGGACCTTTAAAAGGACATGTGTAAATTTAAATTCACACTTTGAAATTTTACAGGACATTAGGCAAAGTAGAAAGCTCAGCTCAAAGATCTAGGAGCCTCAGAGAAAACACCAAATTCCCCTTTATAGGGCTGGCCACATGGAGTAAAGGAGAGCCGGCCCCTACCACACCTTTGAGGGGGAAGGCTTACGAAAGCATGCTTACCCTTTTCCTCAACTAAAAAGTTCTGGAACATTAAGATTTCTTAAATTTACCAAATAGAGAAGATTCTCTCTTAAGTCTTTATGCTAAAAGTCTCCTTTCTGCATCATTTTAGTATCCCATATTTTACTTCCTAATTCCTTCCTTGGGATGTGGTCTCTGATAACTTGGGAGATGAGAGCGTGGCCCTCTGGCGCACAGACTGCACAGGGCAGAAAAGACTCACTTGCTGCCACAAAACCTTAAGTTCAGTGTGATACAGGCAGAAGGAAGAGAGCATTTGGGCAGCTATAAGCCAACTCACTGGTGTCTGTTTTCACATTGTTCTGTAGGGTTTGGGGGGCTCTTGCATCAGCTCACTAGCCCATTTCCACTCTTGGGGCGATGTTTCCCCTTTTTCATAAGCTGTAGCTATCCCTTGCCAAACTTGAAAGGCGGGGCTTTCCTGCACCTCCTCCTGGTGCCTGCCAGGATTCCCACCTGTGCTGTTTGCCCTTAATTAAATTGTCTTTGGGCATAAAACAAACAAACACAAAAGATTGTTCCGTAGGAAGAAGGGAAGAGGGAAGATGAAGTTATCTTGGCCACTGGAGCCATCTTATGTTGGAAGTGCCTCACTCTGCTCCTCTGGTGGAGAGAAGCCGCTCATGGGTCAGACTCCCTGTTGTGCACAGGGCTCTGGTTCCGCACCACATCCACAAGAAGAGAGTGGCTGCACATTGGGTTGGCCGTTTGTCTGCAGAGCTCACAGCTGTGTCTGCTTTTCTTCTCTCAGTGCTGGTCAGGGCACTGTGGCCTTGCGCCTGCTCCACCTTTAAGTCACATGCACAGCCAATCATTATGAAGCAAAAGTTTTCCTACAGAATTCTTGTCCTTTGTTTGTCCTGAGGTATTGTTTCTTTGTTTTGTTTTTTTTGTTACTTTGGGGGTTTGGTTTGGTTTTTATCCATTCATTCTGGAGTTTGTTTGTTGTTATCTTTTCCTCAAGAAATTCTTCTCTTTTGTAACAACAACAAAGTAGGGAGGCCAAGGGTAGTAATAAAAAGAAAACTTAATGGGAATTACTTTAATAAAAAGTTAACTCTTCTGAATATTGATGGAGTTCTGTCATTGTTTTGGTATTGATTTTTCTGGATTTTTTAGTTTTTTACCATTTTTGAAGTCATAAGTGACCTTCAACTCTCTAAAAGATGTTTATAGTTATCTCAGGAAACAATTCTTTTAAATTATTTTTTAATTATTCTGAGGAATAACAGATTTTCAGTCTTTTACACTGACCTGCTCTGTGTGTGTGTGTGTGTGTGTGTGTGTGTGACTTCCCAGGCGTGCATGAGGAGTTGAGAGGACAGTTGGTGGGGGCTTTTCTCCCCTTCCACCACTCGGGATCTGAGGCTCTAACTCAAGTGGTCAGGTCAAGAACCTTTACCCGGCTGAACCACCTTGCAGTCCCAAGATGCTATATTTTAACATAATACTGTAATCAGTATGTAATTATTGAATATTACTATGTAGATACATATTGAATATATAGTTTTAGTTGTCTTCAACAGCAGAATTTTCCCAAAGCTACTGAGTAGCAAAAATAACTGTTAGGAAATATATCAAAGGAATTATATCAAAGTTTATGTCGTCATTTTATGAAATGTCTATTCAGCAGGCAAAAGTAGAAAAGTTTTTTTAAAGTCTCAGGGAAACAATGTGAATAGAAGTGATGGTTCTTGGGCGTTCAGGGTGAACATGAGGGGAGGGATGGATGGAGCAGCTTTCCCTATGTGATGCTGTGTGCTTCTTCTTTCAGCTGTAAAACTACCATAGAAGCCATCCACGGATTGATGTCTCAGGTCATTAAGGATAAACTCTTTAATCAAATTAACGTCGCTTAGTTACCACTGAGTACGTTGTCCTGAAAGCTGATATGTGGGAGGAAAAAGCTCCAGTAACAGCTGTGAACCAGTTAACCAAACTCAGAAGACCACGGTGCTGTGCGGAGTCCCGATTGTTAGCACTGTAATAAAGCTATCACGTGAAACCGTCCTCTGTGGCTTTGTGAGCAGAGTTGTGTTTGGTGCTCTTGCTTGTGAGAGGAAAAACATACTAGATCTTTTCTGGGTTTGAAGTCCTGCCTGTCAAAGTAGCCAAAGAATCTCATTTCATCACACGTGGTCAGAAAGTTTCCAGTTGGTTTTTGTTTGGTTGGTTGTTTTTGTTTTGTTTTGGGTATCCCCCCTCCCCCAAATAAAACAAGGTCTCACTACTCATTTTATTTTCCTGAAAACCACATAACTAGAGACAGAGACAGCCAAGCACATGGTATCTGGTAAATACTTACCGAATGTCTTTCCTGTACCGAGGACTTCCTAGCAAGTTAGACATGCCACCATCCTTTCAGAGCTGAGTGAAGGCGAAAATTAAGCTTCTCTGGAGAGAGATGGTGTGACAGGGTACCCAGGAGAAATGCTTGTTCCAGAGGGGTAGTAAGGTAGGCTTGCCGAAGGGAAGGTCCACCTGAAAGAAAATAGGTCTAGCCCGAAGAGAGGAACTGGGAAGGTGTCACATTGCAGCCAAGTGGTTCAGCAGCCTGAAAAAGCAGAACGCAAGCTGCACTTGAAAAGTAACAAGGGTGACTCCTCCAGGGCTCGCAGAGCCGATGCTAACAGTGCTGAGCAGTCTGAGCTGTGGAATGTACTGCACTGTCTTTCCTAAGAGCGCTGTAGAAGATGGGTAAAGGCTACGTGAGAAGCCATGGAGAATAAAGTCCCAAGAAGCTGAGATTGCGGGCACAGAAGGAGTTTAAAACCCAGCCTCTTAAAGTGACTTCAGAGGACGTGAGATAGCCCAGTGGGTGAAAGGCCCTGGCCACTGAGGTCTGGCAACCCGAGTCAGGGCACTGGAACCCATACAAAAACAATGAGGAAGAACAACTTCATAAAGTTGTCCTCTGACTGCCTCTCTGCTCTGCCTGTGACCATACACCATTGTAGGGATAAGCCCTCCCCTTGGGGGCGGGCTGCCCTCAGGCGTATGTTTACTGATATATTCTGCTGCGCGCCCCTTCCGCGCTCTCTCCTGTTTCCGCTGGCCACTTCGCTGGAACCTTGGTTTTGTGAGTCTGGTTTTGTTATTAAATTTGTTTAAATATCAATTACTGGTGATTTATTGATCCGACCGCTGCA